ATTATCTACATGCACATTAATTTACCTACGAACAATTATTCCATGGGTGTAATTCGACGTATATTAAGAAGAAATGTAGTTCGATGTATATTAAAAAGAAGAAATAATTCACCTATATTAAGAAGAAATGTAGTTCGATGTATAGTATTAAAAATACTATGTTACACCCATGTTCATACAACAATAAAACGTGCCTAACATATCTAACAATACATGAAAAATAATTTACCTACAAGTTAGAGAAATGTTATTTGGTTGGGTGTAGTATAAATTTTTTTAATAATTGGAAAAATTAAATATAGCTAGGTGTAGTGTAATTTTTTTTATATAATTAGAACAAATTAATTTACCTACCTACTCTTTGAAATGTTCATTTCCAATGATGCAAAATGTTCATTACCTAACTACAAATTAATTTCCAATAATTTACCTACAACAATTATACCATGGGTGTAATGTAACATCTTTCTTTACAATGATACAAAATATTGTATGTACCAACAACAAAACTTGCCTAACATAAGTACTTGTACATGGAAAATAATTTACCTATAACAAAAGAAATGCAGTTTGATGTATAAAATCAACAATATTATGTTCCACTTATGTTTATACAACAACAAAACGTGTCTAACATATATAACAATACATAGAAAATAATTTACCTACAAGTTAGAGGAATGTTATTTGATTCAAAATATATAATATAGGTGTAGTATTTTTTTTTTTTAAATAATTGGAACAAACTAATTTACCTACCAATTAATATGGATAAAATTGCTACAAAATATATCACGAAAAAAAAACTACTTTTCTAGTTTGACATAGATACGGTTAATGCAAACACTTTTTTCATTTTATTTCACTTTTTCTAGTACTTTTAATTTGGCATAAATTTAGGAATTTGGAAAAGGAACCATAAAGTATGAGTGGCATGAGTGTAAATAAATTGTATTAATAGGTCAATAGTGTTCCTATATGTTTGCAAATTTTAAATTTGGGCTTAAACTAGATCTTTAAAGATAGATGGGCTTTTACCTAGAAATAATGAATTGTAAGGGCCAAAATCTAAAGCACCCTTATTCTAATTAATCATCTTTCCCTTCGCATTGGGGTTTAGATGAGTCTAGAAATGGTAATTAGTGGGTAGTGGGGGAAAATAGATTTTTTCGGGATCTCTTTCACTAAATCTCACAGATCAAATGATTTGAACTCTTAAAATTTGATCTAACGTTAAAATTGTTATAACTTTTAAAAAGAGTATATATTTTTAGCCGTTAAATTAAATTTTAAAAAGTCGAATCACTTGATCTGTAAGTTTTGGTAAAAAAGATTCAGAATGTCAGAAGAGGACATATACAAGCAAACAGCTAGTCGTACGATTTGACGTATACACATTGACTTATCCCCCAATGTGAAGCATGCATGCTCACGATTCATGCAACGGGAACAGGGTCCATATTCTTGTCACGGGCTCGTCCGATAGACTCTTCTACATCTTTTTAATTATTTGCACATTCCAATTTCGAATTCTGTGTCAAATTAATGGTGCCCATTTCAAGTTTGCAATTATGGTATATAGGGCAATTTTCTATTTAAACTGATCTCCTTGATTAGATTTGGCTTATATTAGTTTGAGCAACACACCGTCACCATATTATAACATGTATAATTTAATAATATTACACCTTGAAATATAGACATTTTGTCCATCCAAATTATTTATGTAAGTTACAACATGTGATGAGTTGTTAATAATAAATATAGACATAACTGGTCACACGATTCAAGTATTCTTTTTAGTGATTCAAAAAGCTCATATAAAGTTTTAGCAGTGCAAGTATGAATAAAGTCAGAATACGTTTGCTGCTTGCATCTAAGTTTGAACCCTCTCCCTATAAATTCAAGTACAATAGAATGTCAATTTGTCAAGAAAGTAGGTTTTCACATCGTGTTTTGCTTAACCATATTGGAGTCCTTGGTCACGCTTGTACCATGGTTAACAACTTAACAGTACGATCTATATATAAGCATCTTGGGCAGCTAGCAAGCTATAGAAAATACACCAGTTGGCTTGTCCTCAGAAACAACGACAAAGTAATTTCTCGGTTCTTGTTTCAGAGTTTAACAATATGCAGAAATAATAAAAAACACAAGAAGAAAATGTGAGCGCAGAATATATGTCAAATTGCGATTGACAATTTGACATGAATGTACATAGGATGCTTACTTCTTGTTTATGAAGGAAGAAGGCATTGAAATCCTTGAATTCATATAGCTGTATATTGATAAGATTAATAAATAAAAAGAGGTGTTTAGATATAGATAAAAGGACAAAGCAAGAACCATTGCTGGGATTACATACACACACACACACACACACATATAAATATATCATGGCACATAGTATAAGATGCAATGAAAAGATTTGGTGAAGGGGATCGATATGAGGGAGAGATCTAGGAACAGGCAAGAAGAGGAAGTAGAGAAGGAAGAAGCCAAAGAGGTATGAATGGGGATGTACCAGTTATAGCTACTAGCTTACACCATTTCCTTTTCCTTTAAATATATTTGTTGTTTCTTTTGCTTTGCTAGCTAGTGAATGTCTTCTTCTTTCTTTGGGTGCCTCTGTGCCTCTGTCGATCGACTGGCAATGCAAAGGACGCACTATTTTGTATGTGTGTCTGGCATTTGGCATTGGTTCGAGAGAAAGCCTACCTAAAACTAAACATGCTTTATTTTTTTATGACCACAAATCGAAATCGCATCCCTACTTTTTTTATTTTCTGGTGAATTGAATATTCAAATCCCAGCTTTTAAGCTTTTTCTTTCTGCTTTTCTGTCTTACTTTATGTTATGAGTGCATGCATTCACGCTTTGCTCCTATGCATACAGATTACCATCGTCCTATCGTTTGTGGGTTGTAAAAGAAAACGATAGGGTAGTAAAAGAAAGTTACTAGTAAGACAATGGTGTGGCCTCCTCCAACACAACAATCAAGCCTTATTTCACTAAATGGAGTCGGCTATATGAATATTTGAATGTCAATGCGCTCGATTTTACGTCAAGTTTTCCGTTAACTTCAAGTACTCCATATTTTTTTCTTAAAGTAAATATTTACAAGTCTTCCTAAATCTTTCTCTACATCTTTTGCCATGACCCTCTATCTCATATGTACATCTTCTAACTAGAGTATATGTAATTCTTTGGTTTTCGTGTCCAAATCACCTTAACCAATAATGGGGCTCCTCCAATTCGGACAAAAAAATTATATAAAAATAAAGGTACCTAGGACACAAAATATATAAGCAGATCTGAGGCTGATTTACAAACCTCAGATAGAATCATGCCAAGGCTTATTAATTTACTTGTTGGGCGATGTTGGTCCATTTGAAACTTGAAAAATTATGTGGACATTCGAGTTCAGCGTCAAGCCCAAACCGTGCCAATGCTTGTTTATTTTTATTAGATGTGAACCAGAAGCATACGATCGAGTAGTAGCAAGTGGTCAGTCACATACATGATAGAAAATTGAAAAGAAGAATGTGTGTTTGAGGGGAAGACAGAGCGACCCAACAACCTTGAATTTCACCAGAATCTGATCAGACTGAAGATGCCCATACGTTAGTACGAATCGGCAGTCCTTTTGAGCAGGCCTTGTTATAACTTATAGATACAGTGCACTTGAAGGGCTTTTTGACAGGCACTTGCCTTTTTTTAGGATGCGTTTGTTGCATTAAGTTATTTTGGATCTGATTAACTTCAAAAATTCAGTTAGACTGACTTAGAATAAACTAGAAAATTCGGCCAATTATGGCAATTCTATGTCAAACTTATGCTCTTAAAAATGTACGGAGTAGTTGTTTAAGCCCATCTATAACCACTAGGGGGCAGATTGAACCCTTCTTCTATGACCCCGCGTCAATCGTCGCTTTGGAGTAGTTGTTTAAGAATCACCTTGTCCTAATACACTTTTATTCCTTTTAGAAGCATCTCCAAACTGAGAGATTTTTTAGTGTGACAGGAACACGAAGTAGTATATTATGTGTCACTATAAAAATGATGACATATGTGTGTTTAAAAGTTAATAAATTAAAAATTAAAATTTTCCACCACTTGTATAAAAGCATGTAGTATACCACTCATATTCCGGTCACAATAAAAATTTTATCCACCAAACAAGCGATGGGAGGGGGGATGGTTAACCCAATAAAGGTTATCTAACCATAGACAGTCATGGGCCGGCCGATACTATTCCTGCCCCGGTCTACTCAAACTTTGTCAAGGCAATGACATATTTAGAAGTCCACAATGAAGAAAACTACACCAAATAGTTAGGGATCGTGCAACCCCAATAATGTCCTAAAACGAGCTTGCCACGCAGAGGAGATACTATCAAAAGTGAGCCCGGTTTCAAACTCTCATTTCTCTCTTCTAGCATTATTTTTCTCTTTTAAAATTTAATCGTAAGATTGAATATATCAAAATAGAATCAATGTATAGAAACTAGAATAATAGTGCATGAATAAAAAAAATGAGAAAACGAAATCATTATCACAATGGTAAGACTAAAACGCAACATTACATTTGCAGTCAAATTCTCTCTGTAAATAGGATTTGGATTCTCTTCTCCAGTTCTCCTCTCTTATTTTCCCTCCTCTACAATCTCTCATATTTGAACGCTCGCAATGAAGTCCACGTAAGAATCTTCTGTTGCTTTCTCTGTAGAGAGAGAAAAAAGAAGAAAGGGAGAGAGGAGGGGACTGGAGAGGAGAAAAGTGGAAAGGAAGATAATCCCACTCGTTGTAAGTACAAACGATGGATTTTATTATATTAAACGTTAAATTATCTACCGACAAAGATTCGAATCCACGTCGTCATACAAGAGCTCAACCAGTTCATTTCCATCTTCTTTTTTCATATCGATTTCAATTCCAATTCATATCAATATAGAATTAAAACTCAAGAACTTTACAAACAACTTCATTAGACTTCTTTTGTTTAAGAAAAAACAACTTTCATATTCACAAAAGATAAAGGGAAAGCCTTTGAAAGCAAAAGTTCACACTTTTCCATATACACCATTTATCCCATGAAAATCAAAACAAGGTAAAAACAACCCTTCATAATTTCATCACAATACCAAGTTCAAAATGCTAATTACAGTTTGGATCATCACTCACTCATCGACCAATCATCAAGCAATCACAAAATTATAAAATAAATAACAATTCAAACCACAGTAACTAGATGTTTGTTTCATTCATGCCTTGATCAAGATGATGAATACGGAGCTTGATCCGTATTCTTATCGGGTCCGGGTCCTTGCCATTCCTCCCCCGATTGCACCACCATTCCTGGATTATACGGCGAAACCACCGCACCATTCCTCACTCCATAGTACACCTGCTGCTGCTGGTGGCTCACTCCATCGGAAACCACCCGAGCTGACACTTCATACGGGTCCATCGCCACCACTGGCCCCAACCCGCCACCATATACTTGACCCATACCCGGTATTGGGTTATGGTACCCGACTGGAATCTGACTCGCTACCTGGTGGTATTGCTGATGAACAAACTGACTCCGAATCGGAACAGGTTGGACTTGTACGTTTGAGGGTGGAACCTGACCCGGATAATAATAGACGGGTGCTGACCGGACCATATGACCCTGGTAATTAGGATCCGGCATATACTGCACCCCAGGGTTGCTCGCGAACCCAGTTGCTTGCGACACGGGCAACTCAACCGTCTCGGTAAACGCCTCCGATTGATTCTCTTTCGTCTCCATGAATTTATTGGAATCGGGTCGGGTCTTCACCGGTGGAAGACTCGGCATCGACGGGACGGATGGCACAGACGACGTCGAGCAGAACGGCGAGGAAGTGACCGGGGCAGGAGAACCCGGATCCGAAACCGACACGTTGTCGTTCAATACGGGTCGAGCCTTCGGTTTGAAATCGCCGCCGCGTGAGTGAGTGTCGTCAGAGTTGTCCAACCCGAATAAGTAGTCAGGCACTTCGGAGACGATCGAAGAAGCTTCGGAGCGGCCCCGCTCGAGCATAGCGGAATTCGACGCACCACTGTTGAGCGCGTCGAGGAACCAGTGCTCGCGGTTGGCGGAGCCGCCGAGGAGCGAGCTGATGCTGGAGGATCGCGAGTTAATCGAGTCGTCGTCGCCGCCTTTGGGGAAGAGAAAGAGGCGGAGCCGCGCCGATTTTGGGTTTTGATTCTGTGTGATGCGGACGTACTCCTCCATCATGTTGTCAACGTCCTCGTCCGTGGTGACCGAAATCAACGAGTCCAGGTCCTCGTTCGGCAGCTGGTACTTCACCGTTACGTTACTCAACCCTGCCGCACACAATCAAAACCCGCAATTAATTAAACTAACTAATCAACTGAATTGCGATGATACGTCGTCGTTTCGACGAGTTAACTTGCCTGAGAGTTTGGAGAGCTTCGAGAGAAGGGCGGAGAAAGAGGTGGTGCGATGCACAGCAACAATTCGGGTATCGCCGCCGACATAGCGAAGCTGATTGTCGTGCGGGCGAGGCAGGATCTTGCCGCCGAAGCTGCACATGAACCGTACACGTGAGTTGAGATCGTGGGACGGATGGTCCGAGCGCGGGGTCGACGCGACCGAGTCGGTGGCGGCGGAGTCAAACTCAGAGGGCTGGAGTGACGCCATTATCCGATGGCGATACGAACTATGCTCTCCGCAACAAAAAGTTGTGAAGGGGTCAGCTTTTGATGTATCGGATTCAACGCCGAGGATTTTTCCGACTAAAAATATTATTATTTTGCTGATGGATCCTCGTGGAGTCCGATATCGAGTTGGAGTTGCAGACGTTGAGGAATGTCGGGGGGTGGAAATAGAGGGAGATTTGGATGTCTGTGACGGCTGGGTGCGTCACAGACGCTTGCCTGACCCGGAATATTTTATTTATGGCATTTCCTAGCCGTTAGATCTTAGATAAATAATTCATTGACCATGATATCTAGCCGTTAGATATCTTTTTGACCTTCTTTGCTGGGCCCCGCTTACTATATTCTCCTCTCTCTTTTTTTCACCTAATTTAGCTAATTGAGTAGGGTATCAATTAATTAATCTCAGCCTATTACAAAATTATTAACCACTTGGGATTGAAAATTGATATATTCGTCTTTATTTTTCCTTCATTCTGTGATGCTATTAGTCTCTCTTGTCATAATTGGTTGATGATACTGCATATAGAACTCGTTTGACAAGCGTTTTATTGATTAAAAACATTTTTGAGAAAATGTTTCGGAAACAAAACTTTGGTAAAAATACAAATTAATTGTGAAAAACACTTGAAATGCCTTTTAAAACTCAAAAGTAATTTTTTTCTAAAAGCGTTTCTTTCGATTAAAAACGCTTTTCAAACAAGCTCGTAGTCTACCAGATACAAAAGGTATCGAATCTTCAAAGGTATCTTAGACAAAAACAAAAAGGAATTAACTTGGTGGGGGGTGAGAGAGCAGAGGTGGAGTTGGGCGAGTAAGGTGGAGAGGAAGTAAGGTGGAGAGGAAGGAAGGAAGGTGGGAGCGGGAGGTGGAGAGATTTTTCAGTGCGATCGTCAAACGGAATGGTATACCACTTGTTGCTATATAAATAGTGAGATATGTGTGTTAAAAAGTTAATAATTTAAAAAATAAAAATTTTCATCACTTACATAAAAACAAGTAGTGTACCATTATGTTCCCGTCATAACTAAAAATTTATCCACAAGATGGTGGGAAAATGCCTTAAACGACCAGATATATGGGTCCAGGTGTCATTGTCGCATTGTCAGAGGCAACGGGGTTGTTTGTCACCATTTTGTCCCGTGGCCCAGGGACTTTGCTACGCCCACCGGCTTGCATCGTCGACCCCCTCACTGTCCAATCATTGAAGTGTTTGATGTTCTGCATTTATCAAGAAAAGTGACTGGTGGGTCCAACCTCGGCCTTGTGGGGTACTGGACTCAATGAACTTGTATGTAACTGATACGTAAACATGACAATGTCGAATTAATCATGCAATATCAGATGAGAAACTTAAAAGAAAAACTAATAAAAAGAATTGAAAACTTTAAATTTAACGATAAAAATAAAATAAATGGTAAAGTAAATAATACTAAGTTTAACATTTTAATGTAAAAATATTATTTTTCGTTATAATGAATAATACCTTAGGCTTTTCGTAAAAATTCCAAACTTAAAATTCATAATGTTGAGGCCACGATGACGTCGTTGAGTCCTCATTTAGACATGGATCTAATGGGTAATATCCCCTTTATATATTAATCATGTCATTGACCGTCCATATACATCTAAAGCAAATTCAGCTGTTGATTTGGTATTTATAAATATATTTTAAAACGAGTTGTTAACTCACTCATAACTAGTTATGTGAACCCCAATTTAAAATTGAATTCATTATAAATACATATTGTCCTGCATTAGTCTTAATCTAACTTAATACTTCTTTTCACTAAGTGAAAATAGGGCAAACTCATGGCCAGTAATAAGGGAAATGGATCCTCTCTGAACCCCTTTCACAAAATCTATCCAATCATCTAATTCGAGCTTTTGAAATTTGATTTAATGATTAAAGTTATTATACTTTTTAAAGGCGCTCTATGTTTGTAGCCGTTTGATCAAATTTCAAAGTCGCGAATTGATTGATTTGGTGAATTTAATGAAAAGAAATCGAAGATGGTCCCTTTTCTGTAATAAGAATTGAAATCATATTGTTCCCTTTTCTTAAAGTGGAAGCAAAATTTGAGCTATTATTTTATGTCGTTGGGTACGAAAGGAAAAGGTCAAAGTGAATAAATCAGGTATTAATTAATAGGATACGAGTCTTTGTCACTTATCAAGTTGGGAATGATTAAAGGGACGTTTATGGTAATGTATAACTTGGGCGGTGGCAATTCACCTTTTAGAGAAGCAAACCTTTTGGAGAAAGAGACGTTTGGGGATAGTGCACAGGCAGTCAGGCACTACCATCAAGAAACCAGGAACTGATGTTGAAGAAATAGCGGAAAGGAATAAAAAGGAAATGGATCGTCGGAAGATAAATCACGTAGTGAGAATTTATAAATTTGATGTTCGAGCACTAATTTGAGCTCATAATACCTCTTTAGAAAGGGAACGACACAACAATTTTAATTTTCGTAATAAAAAGCAGACCTTTGAATTGTCATCCAATTAATTTTGTTTTAATTACCAAAGTCCGTTGAGTTGGTCCAAGAAGTTTTAATCCTTAAATTCTTCATTTAAGTCACTAGATGTTTCAATTGTAATAATCAATTATCAGTGAATCAAAATTATCTTTTGGGATTTTACTCTAAAAAACTGATGGATGTTCCCTTACCGCCCCAAACCCTAGCAAAGTGGGGACCTTGTTGGCTTCTGATCGCCTTTTTTTTATCCTTTGGGATTACTCTAATAAATGATGGATTGCAGATTATCGATCATTTAATGATTTACTTGTCCTTTACTTCGTGCTGCATCAGAAACTCTACCTATCGAATGCCAATATTTGGTAACCAGCGTTATTGGATCATCTTCCAATTAATAACAGCCGACTGCTTTACCACTAAACTACTGAGGAACATATCACTTAAGAAGCCAACTCTTGTTCACAGAAACTTGGGTTACCCTGCTACTGCTACTGCTGCTGCTGCCAAAGTGTCATGGTGTACCTAAAAATGGCTTTTTAGAGGCCTTCTATGCAGTCTTACCAGTAAATGTGATTGATGATTGGAATTGTTTGATTGTTTCCAGATTTTGTAGAGGATCCCCACTTTGCGATCAGGGCTTTGCTTATTGCGGCCATTTTATTATGGGCTGGGCTTGGCCTAGATTATGTATCCCATTCCATTACCAAGACGCCTTTTCATTTCATTTAGTGGGCCTAGCCTTACTATCTCTTTCACACACACACACAGAGGCCATTTGAGAGGGGATTCCCAATGTTAAAAAAATTGAAAATTAGTTATGAGACTCACTTTATATTGAATTTCAACAATCTAAATTATTTATTTTGTAAGTCTCGATTCATAGATCATTTTTGCAAAAATTCATTTCAATCCGTTGTCTGTTTAATTGTCACGATAAAATTTCACTAGTTTCTGTGAACTCAATTAGATGCATCAAATATTTCCGATTTAGTCAATATTTTGCAAAAATGATCTATGAGGTGCAACTATAAAAATAGATTGTTTGGATCGTTGAATTTTGATGTGATTTAAACCCCACAACAAATTCCCATTTAAAAAAAAAATGGAGGTCGCTTCTCTTAAAGACTCTCTACACACACACACACACACACACACACAACAGCTAAAAGGCAGTAGTCCCATTAGTTAGTTGATTACGTCGGTCAACTGTGCCATTATATGATAGGATAACGCTATTTATACAATCATTTTTACTTCTAACATACCTTGGTTAATTTTTTGTCATCGATCTTCTTCTATTCATTCGATCCGACGATAAAAAATTGAGAGAGGTGTGTGAGAAGTAAAAATTAATGTGTGAATAATACTATCTTATATGATATTCGATTTTGAAAAGTGAGGTTCGGATTTTGATTTGGGGGAGCATCATTTCCATGCACACTCCGTCCAAAGAAATGTAACCAAAACCAATGGAAACGAAACAAGAAGTTGGCGAGGACTGAGGACGATCACCCCACTGGCCAATCTCAATTGTCAATTTTCTTGAAACCTTTCTTCAATCTTTTAGTGACTCCTCAATTTATTCTTCAAGCTTTTAGTGACTCCTCAATTTATGGTTCCACTTTTTATAAATAAAAATGTCACCCAACGTCAAGTCCCAACTAAAGATGAGAGATTCTTGGTTGTTTTATGGTGATGTATCTCAAGTGTCAAAGTCTTCTTTTTTTTCATTTTTTTTCTAAAGAAAAGACTAGTTGGTGGTTTTGTTGCGCCAGTCCACTTTTTTGGGACTAGAAAGATTCACAAAGACATTTCAACATTTTCCTAGTCATCATTGTGTGATTCACTAGTACTAGGAATCGAACCAAGAAAGTGTCAAATCTATGAAACAACTTGATACCAAATTAGGTTGCCCATTGTGTGGCTTAGTTGATCTTTCCCTTTTCTTAGTGTAAAAATATCGATGTACTAAAAAAAAAAAGTGTAAATTATAAGAGCAACTCCACCGGGAGCTTCTACTCGAGGGACGTGCTCCGGAACAAGGCTGGATTGCCCGAGGGAGAAAGCCTAGCGTTGGCTGGCTAGGGAGCCCGCGTAGGCCCAAGCGCCAGGCCCGTCGATTCATGCTGCCTAAGTGCCCGAAGGCAGTCTGACGTGGGCTGACGTCAGGACAATGTCTCCACGCTTTTTGAGGGCCACGGAGACGTGGGTTCCGACGAAACCAACTGTGCTGGTGACGAGAACGGACATGCAGACGACATATCTTATAAAATCTCTGACCTTTTTTTCTTCTGGGTTCCTCTCTGATGTCTCTTTTTCTTTGTTTCTCCAAAACCCACAATTGACAAAATTTGGAACCCGTTTTTTAGTTGGATTGGATTTGAAAATTTGGGTTTTTGATTTTGATATGCAAAAAGAAAGAGATAGAAGAAGAAAGGTAAACAAGTGCAAATTTTATTTGATTTGGGATATTAAAATATCTATCCCTTGACTCCCCTACAAACTCATCTGCGCCGCTTCTTCCTCCCGCGACCACCGTGTCCTGCTGCTACTGCAACTTCAAATTCTGGGCTTTCAACCAACACCTCTTCCATTTCGGCAAGACCCATTGCCGGATTCTCAGGGCTTGGTTCTCCGTTGGCGTCAAATTCGGTTTAACCTTACTCTTCTCCGTCTCCCTCCTCCTCATATGGGAGCTCGACAGAGCTCTCAATCTCTTCCATGGAAGCTTCTTCATCCACGGTGATTTCAGTCGCTGTCCACGAACTGGGTCATGCTCTCGCCGTCGCAAGGTCTCTTCTTTTTTCTGTTTCTTTCTTTGTATTATTTTATAAATAAAAAAAATACTATTATTTTATTACCTATTGCCAGGGCTATTTAAGTGCAATGGTGGAGATGCAAAAAATGGTTACTGTTCATTAAGGGCAGTTACTGTTCACTGGGCGAATTGAATAGTGAATAACCTGGGGGAGGACTCCCACGCTGGAGTTGCTCTAATAGTATGCAATTTTCGTATCAAATTCACTCAATTTTTGAAAAACTGTTAATTGTAGCAAATTCAATCGAATTTTTTTTTTTTAAACAAGTCTACAATTATTGAAACTTATCCTAAAGTCTACTAAACGTTTTTTATACATTGGTTAAACGTGATTAATGAGCCCATTAGATCCGATGCTTAATGCACTACCATATGGATCTCTTCATCCTTTAACGAATTAATCGAAAAAGAATATTTGGTGAGGGAAAGAAAGAGACAAGAGTATTTGTTTAGTGTGACGGTAACATGCCTAATAATATTACATGGTGAGAGAAGAGAAGAGAAGAGAAGAGAAGAGAAGAGAATGATACTCCTGCTTCAAGAGTTATAATTTTATTAATTAAAACAACGAGTACGATAATAGTTCATTCGAGCGTTCATATTCTAAATTGAGTTTAGCATCATATATAATTTATGCCAGCTCACGTTTATATTTCCATAAACCTAAATCATATCGTATTTTACAATTTTACTATTTAGATGGCAAATATGATGTTGCTTTCAGATTTCGTTAAAAAAAAAAAAAATGTTCCTTTCAGATTTCTTAGCAATTTAGATTGATTTTCTTATATTTGTTATAAAATATTCACAAATTTAAATTATGTGTTCGTGTACGTATGGGACGCATGTTTTAATTTTTAATAAAATAAAGCAGCATT